TGGTACATCCGAGGGCCTTCTCGTCTTCCCATGACCCGTCTCCCTTCCATCCGACCAGAATTCTTGATTAATCGATTTCGAAAAGCGATATTTTAATTACAACTGCCGGCAGACTGGCTTAAGTCACTTATAACGCTGTGGAATAATTTTTTTTCTTGAGAAGCTGCTGGTAGTTAAGCTCGTAAGTTCGTTAACTTGTTGTCCACCACTAAACCCTATCCAGAGTCAGCTGAATCTGTTTCACCACGTCCTCGTGCAAAATTTAAGAGCGTTTTTTATCTTTTCCTTCCATCTATGACTGTGTCTGTCAAGTTTTCTCTTCCTTTTATGAACTTTTTGTTGGCAAGAATAACATTCAGCACACTAGGTTTTGTATCTTACGAAACCAATAAGAGATGTTCGTTTCAAGCTTATGGAATTAAGACCTGTTTACTGAAGCTCCGTTACTTGAAAGGCGAGATACAGTTTTCAAAATCGTTGTATAGCAACACGGGCTTTGTTCTTATTCTCTCTCGCAACAGTCCATGGATTTTAAAAGTTTCAAAACCCTGAAAACGAAATTCGCTGACGTGAAACTTTTCCTACATGGAAGGCATAATTCAATAACGAAGAACACAGACATGCAAAAGGCTGTAATTACACGCGTTATTATGCTTTGAACGTAACTTGACGAGAGATGGAGTAATTAAGGGCCCGACTGCTTCTAATTACAGATGTGTCACGTGGAGTGGATGCTGAATGACGTTTTAATTTGTCTGTAAAAAATTATTTCGACGCCGGCGACAGCTGCGCGGAACGAGCTGCCCCTGCGCCGTGAGCAAGCCGCAATACGGCTGTCAGTATGGAAAGTGGCCGGACGACCGGGGCAGGAACTGGGTAGGACAAGGCTCTTGGATTCCGGGGCTGAGCCTAGCCTTGTTACCAATTTTAACTGAGGGACGAAACTCAATGCTCACTTCTGTATCAATACGCGGTTATTAACTTCAATTTCGCCCATGCAATTTAACGGTGAGGGTTGATTTCGCTTTCTGAAGCGTACGTGGCGACGTGCCGCTTGGTCAGGGCTGTAGGGTTGCGTCTCGCAGGGGAACAAAATCTTCTCAAGAACCAGTTCGACGAATACGAACCTCACTTGAGGTCACCCGGGATTGAACCTGTGTCTCCGAGTGAGAATTCAGCATCCGGCTGCCTGAACAGAAAGATTTCTCTCCGTCAGGAGGGCTGATTTACGTCAGCTGGTTGGACCCCGTGTACCCCCTCACCCCCGTTACAGTCGCCATAATAAAATACATCGATTTCTGTAGCTGCTTCGTGGTGACCTCTGATATTGGTTCCCGCACTTTAACATTCGCTGTTTTCAGTGGCGTGCTGACTGCATCTGGTCGGTTTTCGTTTGTGTGTTAGAGATCGCATCTCCTTTCGCGACCCGTATCTTTTGAAACACCCTTTGAAAAGTGACTAGAATGTTGACGCAAATTATGGATTTTTTCCTACCCGTCTGCCTGCTATGTCCACTTGTTTTTATTTAAAACTCAACTGATTCCGATTAAATTAGGTATCGAGAGACACTCGTAACACTTCCCCGCATAATTTAAGTTTGTAAGCTGGTACAGGAAACTTTTGATTTCGCTGGAGTTAAGTACGACATTTCTTTGGATATGTTTTATTTATGGCGTGTGTAAAGAAATGCGA